ACCCAGCCTAGGTAGGGGTGGAGCCTCAGAGCCTTCCACACCTTTAGGTTGGAACTGTTAACTGGCTCAACTTTACAGAGGTCTATGTATCTAACCACAGCTTCTCTGAATTCATGTGTACAACAGCCATTATGTCTCTGGGAGCCCATATGTCACTCGGTTTCCATCCGGAGTCATTCCTGACTGAGTTCAAGCTTGTTTGCCTGCTCTGCTTTTGCCAGGAGCCTTGAGGCTGTAACAAAGTTCTGATTAAGCCCTTGAGAAAGAGCATTTTTGCCCAGTTGGAAGAGCATTTTTCTATAAGATCTGGACTGGTGTATGCCAGCCAGAGGCACTCCTCATTAGAGATTAGAAGCTGCTTAACTGAAGATAATGCATCTGTTTGAGCATCTTCCGAAGGACAGTGCAGGGAGGTGGTTAGCTGATTTGTTCTGCCTTCTGCCTGTAATTAGTATATTCACTGCCTGAGAAATAAACCCAGGGCCTGTTTGGTATTGACCTTCAGTCCTCCCGGTCTCTCAAGTTTCCATCTTCATTTCTCTTAATTTAACTTTTCCTCAACTTAGCAGCCCCTTCCCAGGGAATCCGCAGCTGATTTCTGCCAGAGCGGGCTCCAACACACATCCAGAACAGACAGCATTTTAAAGCACTCTTCTCCACCCTCTGGCTTCTCTTTCACCCCCTTCCCTTCCATCATGGTCCCTGAGCCTGTGGTAGAGTATGCATTTATATATACGTACATCTGCGGTCGAATATTCAACACTGCATTGCTGTTGAAAGTGTTGAAACAAGCATCTCTGCATTAACCATTACCTACATTAAGAAGCTTCTATGGTCAAAGACGGGAATACAAACTGCCTCCAGATACTTATGATGTGTATAGATTTAACAGATCGGGACTTTCTGACTTATCTGAGAAAGGCTCAGGATTCTTTAGAGAAGTGCTGGTTTGGGCTGGAATACACATTCTGGGAACTGCATATGTAATTCAAAGAGAAAAGACCCCCCCCCAACCCTGAGAATCGCTCCTACACAGAGATTCATTTGCCTGGTCATGTTTATCTTTGTCTCTGACCCAATGTCTGACTCAGGCTGCCAGTCTGCTCAGCCTTTGATATTACAGCAATGTGGCCAAGCTCCTGTTGGAATATCAGCCTCTATGACTCACCTGGTGTGAACTGGCCTACAGAGGAAGGCGGCAAACGAAGACCCACCGAAATCCTAGGGTATCCGAGTATAAGAATATAGATGTCCAACAGCTGCCACACCTCCAGTTCATCCTACCAGAGTTGACCTTTTCCCTGTGGCTTCCCACTGCCTTATTCCATGCCTTCCACATTGCTATAATAACCCAAGAATATTTACTATCCATGCTTTAAACAGCCACTCTTTAGATTAGCAAGGTATTACCTATTCTGACATTTTCCCTTATTTGTATAGACTTGGGTTCATGCTGAATTGTTTTGCCTTGAAATTTTTTATTAGCATGCATTAATTATGCACATCAATGGGTCAACGGGATATTTCCTGAAGCACAAATATGATAACAGTGAATGGCTTTGGACTTTGTGCAAGAAAATTTACTTATTACATGGAAAATTTACTTTTATAGGCTAGTTTTAGATATTGAATTCTCAGGCTCTTTTCTCACGTTTAATATTTTATTTTATTTGCTTTTATGTTTGCCATGAACTACTTTTTGCTAGGGTTCGCCATTGTTTCAGTAAGATCTCTCCTGCCACCTGTCTTCTTGCTGGCTTTCAGCCTCTGGATTATGCACAGGTGGACTAGTGGTTGGTGTTCTCTTTGGTTTTCTATTTAAGCTTTATGAATCTGGTCACCTAGGTATGGAGGTCTGTAATTGGGGAAATATGCTAGTCATTTATGTTTTCTACTCTATCCCCTCTTATCAGATAATCTAATTGCCCCCCACCAACAGGTATGCTCCATTTTTGATTTCACATTGTCTTCACATTTGAGAAGTTCCTACTAGCCATATTAAGATCTCACAGGCCCCTGTCCTGTACAAAGTCTATGGAGAAGCCTTAAAGAAAAAAAAAAGCTCAGCAAAAGCAATTTTTACTGAGAACATCTATTGATACTGTTCTATATTTCTATCTCAGCACACATTTATGCAAATGTCACTAGGTCCTGAATGTTTTCCAGACAAGATGCCATCAACAGTAGCTTAAGATTGTGTCTCCACTCTAAAAAAAAAAATTCCAAGTTCACCATCAAGTTTCTAGATCATCCTGTTTCTGGCTAAGCCCTTCTGGTTTTATGAAAGTCACTTTCACTACGCGGTCTTTTCTCCGAGTATAGTCAGGTGGATGTGGAGGGAGGGTACACCAGGATAGAGGAGAGCACAGTTAGGTGTCTCTTATGACATGGATCTTTGTCAATCATGCTCCATTCCTTGTGACCTACTTAAGATGTTGGTATAGGCTTTGTCAAAGAACCACGGGCAAGGGTTGACATGACTTCCTATGTACTTGAGACTAACTAGGGTTAAGACTGGTTAAAGTTATCTGCTTAAGATGGAACATAACTGAATTTTTATAACTGGAGTCTATACCTGACACTCATTTAAGCAACTTTTATTTTTGTATTTGATTTTTCTGGTAGAAGCTAGACATGTTGGAAGCAACAGGACCAGAGGCAAGCATATGCAATGAGAGGGCAAGTTAGTTCATGGAGCACCTGAGCGTCAATGTGTTGCATCGGTCCTTCCTAACCCAACTCCTGCCTTGGAGATTCCCTCCCTCTTTTCTTCATGAGTCTTTTGAGGGCTTTTTGTTCTCACCACTGAGATTGTCCTGTTACCCTTGCATGAGTTTCTTGTATTCCTTCCTACACTTTGGGAAAGATGGGACAGTTGGAGTGAGAAAAACCTTTGCCCCGGTGTTCTGGGGTGAAACATTTGTTATGTAGAAGGCCCTGGATTTCTCGAGCATTACCTGCCAGGACAAGGAGAGAAACCTTTCTTAGATCTCCACCATGAGGCCCTAGTGCTATTTTGAGAGGCAATTCTCAGAGCTGTTCCTCTCCAAGTGTAGCTCACATTCTAATTTGTCTTAAAAGGCCAGGCAAAAGCTAAAGTTCAGAGAAGCAGAATAGCCAGCCACCATTTTTTTTACCTCGATTTCAGACTGAAAGGTAGTCCTGTCTTTACAAGTCCTCAGAATGAATGTGCCGAGCTGTCTCCTTCCTGCCTTATAGTTCTCTCTGCCCAATCATCTCTCCCCTTTGTCTTCACCTCCCTAGTGCTAGGAGATTAAGTGTGTGACTCCCTAGTTAAAGGTATGAGCTGTCACCACCACCTGGTTCCTTTTTTAGACTGGATCCAATTTTGTGTAGCCCAGGGTAGTCTTGAACTCAGATCTGTCTCCCAAGTGCTGGATTAAAGGTGTGTGCTACCACTGCCTGGTCTCTATGGATAACTAATAAGTAGCAATCTGAAACTCAAGCAAGCTTTGTTACACAGTACAAACAAAATATCCCCAACTGAAGGGTCCAAGAATATGAATATAAAAATGTAGATTTCAGAAATAGGAATGTAGAAGTAAAGAAAGTTGTAAGCATAGAAGAATGAGAACAGACTCAGCTTTCTCAGCTTAAGGATTAACTATTAACAGTAGGTTAACTCTGCTTTACAACCCATAACTATTTATAAGCCAAAGCATCTCTGCAAACTAAGAGCTAGCCTAAAGATATGAACTGGGTCAATTTTTAAGGAAATAGATATAAGCTGGGTCATGCAATATCCTTGCTATGTAAAACTGGCAGCAAAGGGGAGAACACAGGGGTTCAGTAAACGCTACCTAGAAGTACCAAGGAAAGCAATAGAATAAGTACAAACACTAGTTTAACTGAAACTCTGTTAATGGAGATTGTAGAGTAAGGCAATCTGTATCAGAGTTTTACCTTGAGTGTTAACTTTGCCACAGAGCCTTACAAAAATCTCTGGCTATCTCAGCTAGCTGATAAGCTTTTTGTGCCACATGGGAGTTTATTCCAAAAACAAAATTCAGGGGGAAAAAAAAGTTTGCTTCTGGTTTATTAGACTTTGGTGGTCTATCCCCATTTTTGCATGACCCCGAGGACACAACACCCACAAAGACTGTTTTTAGGTGTCTCTCATTCTAGTCATTCGCCTCCCCAAACAAAATTGCCACTCAGTAATTCTGCAGTTTAGGGTCCCAGGAGCATTTACTCCGAGCAGGAAAATTTTGGCCACACTGGTGTCATACGCCTTCTCCAGACATCGGGTGGTGGCTGACTCTAGCAAACAGTTCTTTTCCATGTAACAGGAGTCCTTAAGAAAACATGGCTTATATGAACACCTTTACCTGATGAGGTAAATCCACAAATAGTTTAACAATTTTAAAAAGTATACTATTTTTCTCCTCTCCCCCTCCCCCATGATCCCCACACTTATAATTTACTAAGATCTTGTCTCTCTTAGGGTCCTTTTATTGTCTAAGGTTCTCTGGGGTTGTGAATTGTAGGCTGGTTTTTCTTTGCTTTATGTCTAAAAGACACTTATGATTACATATTATATTTATCTTTCTGTGTCTGGGTTACCCCAAAGTTTTCTAGATCCATTTGCCTGCAAATTTCAATGTCATTTTTCCCCATGGTGTAGTACTTCATTATGTAAATGTACCCCTTTTTTTTAAATCCATTCAGTCTAGGGGCATTTAGGTTGTTTCCAGGTTCTGGTTATTACAAATAATGCTGTTAAGAACATAGTTAAGCACATGTCCTTGTGGTATGATTGAGCATCCTTTGGGTATATGCCCAAAAGAAAAAAGTGGATGGCCCAGGTGGTCCAATGTTTTAGAATACCTCTGAGGAGTTTCTTCTGAGTTCTACCATCCAGAACAGTTTAAGACTGCTGCCTGAGATGATCCAGCCTCAAACACTATAATCACTACTTGACCATAATCCTAAATTTTCTTTGGAATTTTCCCCCATAAGAATATCAGCACCCGGGACCAGCACCGGCCTCACTATGTCTGCCATTTTCAATTTTCAGAGTCTGTTGACTGTAATCTTGCTGCTTATATGTACGTGTGCTTATATCCGATCCTTGGCACCCAGCCTCCTGGACAGAAATAAAACTGGACTATTGGGAATATTTTGGAAGTGTGCCCGAATTGGTGAACGCAAGAGTCCTTACGTTGCTGTATGCTGTATAGTGATGGCCTTCAGCATCCTCTTCATACAATAGCTTCAAAAACTACCAGCATGTGATTGCCATCAGACTCTAAACAAAGACTTGCCTCCAGAAAATAATGGGAAGAGTAGTTAACCCTTTTATCTCTGAACAAGAAATGAGATAAATTTCAAGATGCTGTTCTCTATTTTTATGCTAATGGACCAATGAGCTATATAAATAATTAAGATGTAACAGTTTAATACACAGGATGTGATTATAGCAATCAACCTCAGTCTGTTGCTCCAGTATTAACTCTCAGCAAATGTCATTCTGTTGTCTCGGAACTGCTTTTCATAAGGTTCTTGAGGCCATGAAGTAGAACAAACAGTTGGTGGATTCCACAGGCTCCTTTCACTAGGGCTTAAAAATGTTGTCCTCATTGAATGAGACCTTCTAGTGACTGGCCTATTTTTATTGGAAAAAATTGTTCTATTTTTGTTGTTGTTGCTATTCTTATGGATTGCATTCATATTTAAACCATTTTGATTGCTAACCAGAATACCTCTATTCTTGGCAAATTATTACAGGTGTAAAATATTTTAAACAAAACCTTGCATTTCTTTAATATAATATGGTCAAGTGTGGTCAAAGATACAGCTGCCGTTCTCTGAAAAAGAGCATTCTTCGAATGGAAACCAGCAAGTAGAACAGAGTAGACTAATAGTATCACATGCTTTCGTTCTCATTCGTGTCAGCTCTTCCAAATAGAGCACTGGTTGTAGTTATCCCAAATGTGGTTTTTGTTGTGTTTTTTTATGCATCACTCTAAATACAGTTTCTTTTTTGTCAGCTTAAAAAAAAAAAAAAAGAATATCAGCACCCCCAATCAGGGGGAAGCCTAGAAAACTATGCCCACATTCTCAAAAAAAAAAAAAGATTATGTGTGTTTATTTAGTGTGTTGGTTTACAAGTCGTTTGGACAATAATCAGGAACAAAGCTAAAGGAGATTAGAGTCAGAGTTCTTGTTTTGGAAACTGAGTGAAATGCTGTGGGAAATGCTCTTGTTCCCTGTCAAGATTTGTTACTCTTACTGGTTTAATAAAATGTTGATTGACCAGTAGCCAGGCAGGAAGTATAGGCAGGACAACCAGACTAAGAATTTGAAGAGGAAAGGTAGAGAAGCAGTCACCTGACGTAGTCAAAGCAAGACGAGAAGGCTTCACAAGTAAGGTACCAAAGTCACGTGGCTAAACATAGAAAATTATGCATTAAGTCATAGGGGATAGTTAAATCCGAGCTAATAGGCCAACCTGTTTATAATTAAGTAGTAAACCCCTTTTTTCGTTTAGGTTTCCTACCCAAACAGAGCGTGGGACACATGGGTGGCCTGGCAGAGATCAGGAAGCAAAGACATGTATGACTGAAGATGTCACAAGGACAGGTGCGGTGTCAGCCTGCCACCATCAGCAACAGGGACTGCATTTAGCTGTGGCAACTCTGATGCCTTTTCATGTTCAAGAACCATCTTCCAGGAAAAGCAGGACATCTTCACACAAACTGTCCTCACCTTTGAGGGTCGGTGACTGCCTAGCCATCTTGAATGAGGTTTGTAGCAGAGATAACGGCTTGTTCAAAGCAGTGGGAGTCGGGAAGTGGCACACAGAAATGCAGGCTGAACAAATGCCCTTTACCATTGACAGACTGCACAGACTGTAGGACAACTCTGGAACTAGAGAACTAAAAGCTCTTTAGTGTATTTAAATAGAGCTGTCGCATATAAGAGATAACCAAACTCCATAGATCACTAGCCAGAGTTCTCTTTAATCCCCCCCCCACCTTCCCTGAGGTAGATTTTTTCTAGTTCTATTATTCACATGGCATAGAATTGCACGTAAGTCCCCATAGACTATTGTCTGATAGGAGGAATACCCAAGGAGAAAACCCCCTAAGCTCTCCCCCCTTCATGAGGCTGTCTTCTAGACATACCAAGTTGAAATTCTCTAACTTATACACAAAACAGAAATGCAGGTATGGTGTTAAATGAGGGATTGCATATGCATAAAATTTCATCAACATTAATTTCATAAACATAAGTGGACTGCATTTTCTAACAAACATTTCCAGGCACCTAGTTGTCATCTGGCCATAAAAATCTCCAAATCAATATTGTCCCATTTGTTATAAGTCAGGTAATTGAGTGTCTACAGGGTAAAAGCAGTATTTATCTCCAAAAGCCTTGGAACTTTGCAAGGTTGGAATTCATTCAGATTGGTGGCTGCATCACAAAAAAGAGTGGTTACTTAAGATTATAGGGTAACATCACTGGGAAGCGTTCTACAGAGAAGCATGGGCAATGGGGTATACTGAGTAGATGTGTTCAAGGTCTAATTACCCACACTAGCCAATATTCGAGTGCATTAATCTGATTATTCCAAGTATCATTACTATGCCTTGTCATGGAAAAATTATAGACAAAAGATCCATCGTCACGGCCTTATGTTTGCCTGTCCTGAAATACCTAGCGTAGCATCCTTCATGAAGTACCACAGCACTTTAAATTTAGAGCAGTTGAATTTTGAAGTTGGCATCAGCTTCTGGCAAGAGATTTTACACTGTAATAAGGAAACGTGAGCCACCTTAGTAGCATCCCAGTGCTGCGGTCTGCATAAAGATTCTGGGGAGGAGACACCTGCACCTTTCATTCTGCATTTAAATTGAAACTCTGGGTAGCAAGAGGACGAGGTCATTTCACCAGATGGACGGATGTGATGAAGGAAAGGCCACCTGCGTGACCTGGAACAGAACATCAAGTCTTAAAGGAATTTTACTTATGAGAACAGCTCAACAGCATCCATTCCTCATGGATAGAGAAACAGATCTTCATTTATGACCAGCACTAATTCAGTTGTTTATATTATGGGGAAAATATCGCCTGACTGATTTCATGTTTGTCATTTACAACTGTGGTGGTTTGAATGACAAATGTCCTCCCCCATAGGCTCAGGTTTAAGATTTGGTCCCTCGGTTGGTAGTGTTTGGAAGAGGTTATGCCGACATTTATTAAGTAGAACTTCTCTTTCAAGTATCTTGCAGAGGGTAGGGTTTGAAGTAGCCTCTCCCCACTTCCTACTCTTTCCTGCTTGTATGTGGATAAAGTGATTGGCCAGCTTCCTGCTCCTGCTGCCATGCCATGCCTTTCCCCCAACAATGGGCTCTAGCCTCTAGAGTCATAAGCTATACTCAAAGTTATTTTGTCATGGTAACTAAGGCTCTGGCCATGTCATTTTCCTCCAGAAAGATGTCAAGAGGAAGCTACTACCCAAAGCAGAAAGGGGCATTGACAGTGCCTTCCCTTCTCTTGGTGGAGTCCAACTTGAAGCAATGAGTCCCTTGAGTTACTCATAGCAGCATGACTGACCCTGAAAGGTAACTGCTTTCTTGGGAGCTCTCCCAGGCTCAACTTTTGGGCAGCTATACAACAAGGCATCTACCTACAATACGAGATGATTCCTAAAGTCCACATCACTGAAACATCCTTTGGATAACTTACAGACAAGCTCTCCCACTGAAGAGTCCCCCACCACCAGCAAGTCTACATACTGCTTATATAACCTTGGAATGGGAGGTCTCAAAAATCCCATCTGCCTGTATCCCAGTAGAAATTCACATCTTCCAAAAGAGAACAAATGTTCCTGACTGAGATGGCTCCTGCAGGAAATTCCAACTGACTCGAAAGCAGTACAACCTTGAACCAGGTTCAAGCCCAACCTGGCAGAAATGGCTACACTAACTCTGAAACCTTATTTCTTATGGCAGACATCCATTCATAATTAGCACAAAATATTGTATTAAAACCTTTCACAGTGGTCAGCACAGGAGAAGCCAACTTATACCATAAGCAAACAGTCTTCATTACACTATCTGAAATACTCACCCAAATATGTCAAGTATTGATTAGCGAGGTCCAGGATCACAGTCTTAAGGGTTTTGGTTCTTAAATTATCACTTATTCTGGCGATGTAATTTGGAGTTTTAGACTGGGGTGCCATCATTGATCTCAGATTGTATTTAGATGGCCCGTGCTTTTTATAGTATCATTAAAACTTAGCAGTAATATTAAAACTGCTCTCTATAGCTAACAGGACTGGGGCTAAAGTGATAAGGTACTTGCTCAGGTTTATGCACCACTTACATGGCTGAGGTGGATTTTAATTAAGTCTTATTCTCAGTCTATACACGTGCAACCGCTACGAGTTTCCCCCTTGGAACAAAGATGTTTCCTTAATTAAAATTGATCTTCAGGCAATTTCTTGCTTGCATTTGACTAAATTGTCAGACAAGTAAGGTGAAGCCATTTTTTTGAGGCAGTAAGCTACAGAAAAGGGCACCAGGCTTAAAAAGGTATGTGAAACCAGCCAGGTGATTTTATGCAAAAGCTTCATGCAAGATGCATGAGTAAGCCCGATTCTCTACATCCTTATGTAATGGGAACTTAAGAATCTCATAGTTGTCGGGTCTTGCTTTAGAGTGTAATCTTTACTCATCCTTTTTGGAATGAGGTTCATATTTTGTGCCATTGTGTTGTAAGTACGTAATGTTATTTGATTTTTATAGGAGGCTATAGTTGAGATTTGTGATGAGAATGCCCTCTCTTCCCCACATAGGCTCGGAGATTTGGGTAAGTTTAGTATGTGCAGCATTCTTTGAAGTCTGTCACTAGGGGCAGGCTTTGAGGGTTCAAAAACTCCTGACCCTCCCAGTATGCTCTGCTTCCCTGTTTGCAGGTTAAGATGTAAATTTCCAGTTGCTCTACTTTGCCCTGCTTGCTCCACCACAGTGGTAATGGACCTCTTTCCCTCTGGAACTTAAGTCCAAATACACCTCTAAATGGTTTTACCAGAGCACTACAGAAAATGAAATAGGCAAAGGAATATACAAGAATCCATTGCTAGACCTACTAGAAATTGTGTTGAATATAGTTGGTTACTAAAATTTTATTCTTTCCCCTCCTCAGACCAGAAAGCAAGAATGATTTTCCTAGTTTGCATAGTGTTTGGGGGCATATGGAATCTTTTCCTTCATGATTATCTAATGCACCCAACCCCACAAGATCCCCTGCTCAAAAGCAGTTGGAACAAACTGGAAGCAGGGTTTTATGGATCAAGTCTCCAACATTTCAGATAAAGCCTTTTAAGGGCTGCTACTTGAGACACAGTCAAGTATCTGGTGTATAGTTTTGACTTAGGCCTCATACTCCCCCCCCCACTTCCATAACACCTCTACGATGTTCTCAACTGTTCCCTTAGTTGATCTATGTTCATGAGAGACCCCTTTGCCCAACGAATGCACTCTTTCATACTTCCCACCACAGAAAAGCATATCTGAGCCAATCTCATGTATTTTGTTGCAGGAACACGTTAATGAGACAGGTACCCCAGAACAGGTGAGAGGCACATGCTAGAGGACAATTCCTAAGCTTTGTGAAGAGTCAGGGTTCAGTCACATGGGACCTTAGTGTATTCACATAGTCCATTAAAACGAAATTACTCATGGTCTCTAAGATGAAAGATTTAGGCCATTTTCTAGGAAGGAACCACAGCTTCTTATGGATCAGATTTTCATTCCTGGGCCTGATGCTTTTAACCTTTGATCGATGTTACCTGCTTGGGTCCCCATAACCTCAGTTAAGCCTGCCTCCCTCCCACCCCCAGAAGTCAATGGAGTTTTTTGCTGGCTAGTTTTTGTCAGCTTGACAAAAATCTAGACGTTATCTGGGAAGAGGTAA